TTCACCAGAGACAGAGTGGGGAGCAGAACAGGCAGATCTATTGAAATACACTGCTAAGGGAGTAGCAGGCAATACAGAAGTGGTTTGCTGCAACATATGTGGTTTAGCTCTCTGGCCATGGATCAAACTAAGGTTGTCATCATGATGATAGTACTGATACTTAACCCGTAGCCACCAGGGAGGCCTTTTTTTTTTTAACTTTGTGTTTCTAAATGAAACAAAAAAATATTTGGTCCAATTAGATTAAGACAAAGTTATATCTTAATAAAAGCTAAGGAAGGAAATGCATTCTTTAAAGGAAATGGAGTAGCAAAATAGACAACTGTCTTGCCTATGTTTGTTTCTACAGTTAACCAGTTTTTGTACCTTTAATCCAGGGTGCATGGATTATATGCCACAAGCATTCGGTTAAACTCTAGCTTATTATCATTAACAATTACTACAATTCTACTTTTATCAAGTTGGATACATGTATAAATCCTTAAACAATTCAAATGTAGATAAAATAAAAAAAAAGATACATCAGAACCCAAAAATATAAAATATACAATTATACAATAAACTAACATTAATCTAGGTCTCTTCCTTCTTTGCCTCATTCCTATTTTTTAATTATTTGAAGGCTAGCTTATTTGTTTAGCACATCCAGCATAAAAGCAACATACTCTATTTCATTATTAATATTTATTTTTACTGGATGCAAAAAACTTGACCAAAAATAATTTGAATTCATTACAATTACCCAAACCTTTCCTACTCCCCACTAGAGTAGTCAAACATTAGTTCTAATGAAGACAATTTTTGCAACTCTGAAATATCACTAAACTTGTGAAGATAAAACAGTTCTCAGACATGAAAGTAAAAATTATTGTAATAAGTTAAATGAATAATCATTCTATAGATTCCCCTATTCTAGGCTTTCATGTGATTAAGTCATAAATATATGAAGTTTGTTGAGTTGCCTTTTACTCAGCATAATCTTTTTCAAAGTTCATAAAGTGGCTGCCTGTATCAGCACTGCACATTCTCACCAGCAGCAAATGAGGGCTCTGTTTTCTCGCTGCCCTTACTAAGGCTTGTTATGTTTTCCTCACTTTAATCATCCTGGTGGGAATGAAGAAGTCCCTCATCATGGGCTTTATTTGCCCACACGTAGTTATTGGCTATTTTTTCCATGTATTTATTGGTTATGTATGTATCTTTGGTGCTGTGGAGGGGGATTGTTCATATACTGTGCACACATCTCAGTTGAGTTGTATCTTTTTATAGTGGAAAAGAGTTCCTTATATTCTAGATTAAGTCCCTTAACATACATATGATTTGTAAATATTTTCTCCCATTGCAGGGTTTGTCTTGTCACACTTATTTGACATGAATAAGTTTTTTATTTTGATAAAATTTACAATTTACCTTTTCTTTGTTGTTCATGCTCCTGGTGTAATATTTAAGAATTCCTTGCCTAATTCAAATTCATAAAAATTCAGCTTTATGGTTTCACTTGTTAAATTTATTTCTCGGCATTTTATTCTTCTTGATATAAACACAAATGAAATTATTTAATTTCATTTTCAGATTGGCTCTCAATTTTTAACAATTTTCAAATAGTAATATGATGAGAATCATCGTATGAAAAAATTTAATTTTCTAGAAGAAATAATGCTTCTCCTGGCACTAAAAAACATAAAAAATTTCTTCCTTATATCCTCATAAAGGGAATTCTATGTACAACATACCTCTTCCTTCAAAATACCTCAAACAAACATGGCCTCCCTAGTGGCACAGGGTTATTAAAGTCACAGCACTATCAAGCTATCACCAGCCACCGTAACATGAGTTTCATCCCTGGCCAGGGTGCTGATCCACATGGCACAGCAGACCTCTGCTGTCTTGCCACTGCTCTCCTCAGCAATGTATTTCATTGGATCTACTTGTTCTGCTCCCCACTCTATCTCTGGTATATCCTCTCACACTCCCCACATCTGGCCTGGACCTCAGTTCTTATACACATAAATGAGTAAAATAAGTATTAAAAAAAAAAATCCAGTAACACAAATCAAAACCCTATGAGGCCTTTAAAAAAATAATAGAAGGGCCCTCCCTGGTGGCGCAGCGGGTTAAAGCACAGCACAAAGAAGCTTAAGCCACTTTCACATGAGTTCAATCCACATGGCGGGGCAGACCTCTCCTGACCCACCCGCTGCTCCCCTCAGCAGTGTACTTCGTCTATCTGCCTGTTCTGAGCCCCACTCTGTCTCTGGTGAAGCCTCTCACCCTCCGCATCTCTGGCCTGTACCCCAGAGTTCTGTACGAATAAATAAATAAAATCTTAAAAAATAATAATAACAGAAGCTATAAAATTAACAAGTAAATATGATAAATAAATTTGTATATGTTATGTAGTGTATGTGTATGTATGCATGTTCTGGTATCACCCAAAAGAATTTAAGGGAGAGGGTTGACCAAGGCACATAAATTTAAAAGGTATCATTGGGAAATTCAGACAGTCTAAGGGATTCATGGACCTGCGATCTACAATGTAACTGTTATTTAGCTTGTCTACACAACATGAAAATTTAAAAGACTGAATTTTTAAAAAGTATCCAGAACCAAAGTAATAATGCTTTCTTGCTTACTTGGTGATTTGCTGAGGGCCATCCTCTCCACGGGCTTTGCTAGCTTGGGTTTCTTGATAAAGGTTCCACCAGGCTTATTAAAAGGTTGCATCATTTTTCTCTTTATTCCTCTTGCTGCAGCAATTGTCACACTGGCGGGTTTGTTTTGATAGTCAACAACAATTCCAGGTCTATGAATGCTTCCAAAATCACTCATATGCTGCAAATTTGTGAAATCAGGCAATATTAGCATAATATCCAAAGATAAAGTATGATTCATATAAAATTTACATGTCATCTATCTAATTAATAATGGTCACATGGAAACCCCCAAAATGTTAACTAAATTTTACATGTCCACTTTGAATACATTGAGAAACTGTAAATTATTACATTTACTCAAATCCAGCGAATTAGTATTTTTATTTACAGTAGAACAAATATGGATTTCCTACCTATTTTTTATTTTTACAATTCAAAATTATTTGAGTTCATATACATGTGCCTGCCAGAATATTACCACTTGTACAACTCTCTGACAACTCCTCTTCAGAGTTCCTAAATGATGTTTTCCCATGAAAAGACCTTAAAAGAAATCTTTATTTTACTAAAACCTTGCTTAAAACTAAGAAACACAAAGAAGACCATATTTGAAGTCTGAAGTAAAAAAGATCCAGAAATCATTTACGATTTCTCCCTGTTGAAAAAGGGAATAAGGAGGCGAGATGGAACATTAGTATGAAATAGGAGAGTTAAAGCATAACCATGCATCAACTTCCAAAACACACTTCAGATAAAGAATTGCATCTGACGTTCCATTCACATTCTTACCTAGAGAAACATTCTGACCCAGAAGCCTAAGAAGCAAAAGTTTCCAGATGAAGAGTCATGCAACCAAATGACTCTTTATGTCCCTTCCCTCTTATCATTAACAAAATCTACTATACCAAGTTCACATATCCACAGAAATTTATTCTGCTAACTTTACTTTTAGAAGACAAAGATTGAGGAGTAATCTGAAGAGAAGGATCCAATGGGAATTGTACAAGTGAAGATTCAAAAAGAGAGTCCTAGTATAGCTTCATCTACTTCATTAACAGAAGAAAGAAAGAAAAGTCCATTCAGAGTAGAATGGTGAATACAAAGTACAGGACTACCTGTTTCACTATCATGAAAACAAATCTGATATTTGAAGTCTCATTAAGAAAAAAAAATCATTTGCCTAAAACAATATACAGCATGGAAAATGTTTTCCAAATTTTCAAAATGAAATATTCAATTTCAAAACCCAAAGCCTATCACCCCAACTAGTTTCAATTAACCTATAATCGTGAAGTATGGTGGGATAGCAACATATCAGTTGCTTACATTTTTGTATTATGCTTAGGAATTCCTATCTAACCTAGTAAACTTGAATAAAATAGTGTTTCCAGGTAATTTATTTTGTCACATCAGGTAAACCTGCATTATATCCATTAAAGGTGCAATGCATTTTACATAAAAGTAACTGATAAATGCAAACTTTCTACACAAGTATGACAAACTATACTGACGTACCAAAGCTAAACAGTCAAAAAGTGTGCCCTATGACATTTTTTATCAGAAGTACTTTCCTCTACAGAGCAACTGACTTAAAAAAAAAATTCTTAAATTATTGCAAAAAATACAATAGTCTTTATATTATCAAACTACATAATAACTTCACAATCTACATACACTTAACTGATAAAATTTCAAGTCAGCCATGTTACCTAAGAAGCATAATCTTTATGCTGTATGTCCTGAAATTAAACACCTGGTATATTATTTCGCCCATTTAATTCAATAATTTACCAAATATTACTTTCTAGGAAGGAGCTATAATTATGTTCATACAGGCAAAAATTTTCTCAATAGTAAAAACTAGTGACACCGGGAAAATAAAACACCCAACAACAGGACATAGAGTAAGAGAAGTATTATCAGCAAATTGATACTGACCACAAATCATTTTCAACCTATTAAGCATATCAAGTTTTTCTCCTTATAAACATGGCTAAACTACTCTAATCTATCAGCAGATCTTAAGTCTCTTGTGTTTGATGTGAGATAAGGAGCGTTGAAGAAATCTACGTGTTAGGGGTTTAACAGCAAAGTATAAACATTTTATCATACATTGCACCTTTAACCTACTCAGGAACTCCAAAAGGGTTGTTACCTTTTACAGTAATCCAAGAACTGTCCCACCAGCAAAATTGCTAGTGTTTACAAGGAAAAATGCAACTCCTTTTAACCCCTTTTAGACCAAACCTAGTATCTTCAACCTTTTTAATAAAGGGAGATTTGGCAAAACTATTAACAATCATCTGACACTGCCACTTAATTTCTGAAATCCTGGAAAAACTTTTATAGTCAACCTAAAAATTATGTCATGACTCACTTTTGCTTCAAAATACACTGGGATGAACAGTGTTTATTCTAGTTAAAACCGTGGTCTTGAAAGGGTTTAAAAGAGTGACTAGTGAAAAGAATCTGAAAAGATTCTGTTGTACTTACTCCTCGGCCTCGGCCTCTGCCTGTTGATGGTCCTCCAAAAGCATCATAGTTTCTGCTTCCAAACGTACTTTCAGGATAAGCAGGCGTTCCTCTCCCCCGAGAGCCTACAGGTGCAGGCTTCATATGGGGTGAAGAAAAACTGCTGTAGGAAGAGTAATTCTCTCTTCCTCTGTCCTCCATAAACCCAGGCCTCAATTTTGAACGGGAGTAAGGTGCTTCCCAGCTAGACCCGCCCTGGTTTCTACCTCCGAAAGAGTCAAGGCTATTCCGGTAGGAGCTCTCAAATCGACCACCATAACTACCTCCGAAGCGGCTTTGTTCGGGTTCATTAAAACCATAGCCAGATCTGTACAGATCTCGCCCACCCAGAGAAGACCTGGAGTCGTAAGACTCATAAGGTCCAAACCTGGAAAAGTTGCACAGTGAGGGAAAAAACAAAAGTAAGCTTACTAATGTTAGACAATTCAAAAGACAAATTATCAGATGACATTTATCAACTAAAATTCATTTATACCATACTGGTTTGCACAGTTCTAATTTTGTTCACACTTGATTAGGGCTGGGCAGTTCAACATGAGACCAGATAGAAAGCTATCTGAGTCACTTTTAAATATAAATTGAATTCAATAAACCTTAGCTTAAAACTCTGCTAATTTTTAGCAGTCTTACTATTTTATTCAAAACAAAAGATTTGTCTGTTATTATTTCAGCCCAGCCCTAGTCTTGGAAAAAGTCATTTGCTACAGTTCACAAACTACTCAAACTTTCTTTGAACCTATCCCTAATATTGGAAAATACAAAATATTTACAACATTTTGGCTTTCAATAAAGACACAAGTTATAGACTACACAGATATAAGCTATTTGTAACAGGCAAGATCCTACTATAACCCCAATAATCTCTATCACAAAATTGCTTCATGTGATTGTAGTAGACAAAATTTGGAGAATTATCTCTGGTTAAAAAATTTGACATTCTGCCAAATTCAATCCTCAATCACTTTTCGCTTATAGACTAATAAATCTAACTACTCTAATAAGTACATAAAATACAACATAAAGTAAGGACCACCAACATATACCCTGTGCATATGAATTTTCAAGGCAGATGAGAAAGAATACATTTTATGTCTTCAATAATTTGAAAAATTATTTCCTGGCAGTAAATTATCACATAAAACTACTCTAAAAAAGGGAGCACACAGTCTCCTCAAGTTTTTACTAGAATCAACAGAAGAAACAAATCATGTTACTTCTCACAAATCCAAAGCATGGATTACAAAAAGTTACTTGATATCTTAACAACAAAGTTTTATAAAGGCCCACAATTACACATGAGATAATCAATAACATCTACATAGTTTATGCATGTTACATTTACAATGTAATAGGGCAATAATTGATATTAAAACACTATTATACATTACTTCTACTATACAAATCACTAGATAGGAGATACTATTTACTTTTGAATCCTAGTAGTTATATAAAAAATTTTCCTTTTCCAACTACATTTTTAAAGCATCTATCACATAAAACAAAATTGTTCGGTTTGTTTTCTTATATACCATAGTGGCACTCTTGAATCACTAAGATAGAAAGTAAGCATCATTCGATCCATCCCTAAACAATCCAGATCCTTCAATATGAAGAAGGATGATTTTTCAAATGTTGCCAACTACTTTTACTTGTATTTAGTAGGAATCTTTGTGCCTCAAAAAGTAAGATCCACTTTGTCTGAAATGTGATCAACCCTAAAGCCTGTAGTAGTTCAACTAGCTTTAACCTTTACATGACTGTCAACAAGTGAAACAGAAATACAATCTAAACTCTAATGCATTAAAATAAGCAAAGGCTTTATTTTATATAATATTACTAACTTGGACCCAGAAGTGTTCTAGTATAAATACCTGCCCTTAAATAGCCTAAGACATAATTTAAAGAACATTTTTATTTTTACAATATGCTCTTTTAACTTATTTTTGAATAAAAATTAATACTTATCTTAAATGTTTTTTTAGAAACTGAATGTTGCTAGACTGGCTCAATTAAACCCATTTCTAGTCAAAGACTGCTCAGTTGCTTTACACAATACTGTACATTAGGAAAAGATACTATTTCCAGTAACATTTTTTTATCATTTGTTCCAAACATTCTGATTGATAAGGTGTAAAAAAAAAAGTTCTCTGCTAAAGACAGAAAATCTTAGAAATGGTAACAGTTATCTGAGCTTTAATAAAAGTAGTATCTGCCAGTGATCCTGAGATAATTTTTAGTTAATACCTTTAAACAATTCAATACCAAACAATGAAATGTAAGCATCATAACATCCCTAATACTTAAAATATCCAAATCTTATATTTGTCTAATTTATGGCCAAGTGATTAAGCAATTTACCTGCTACCCCCACCACCATCACTGTGATTGTCCATGCCATATGACTGGTTTAGGTAGGAGTCCATGGATCTTTGACCCCCATAGGATCCATGGCCATAGTCACGATCCAGCCCTATAAAGAGTTTAAAAAGAAAAAAATTAAAAAATGCTCACCTTTATTGGCACTCATAAGAAGAATTTTTAGATAAATATCCTTGAATGTCAGACCTCCATAAGATCCATGGCCATAATCACGATCCATTCCTAAAAAAGCCAAAAACAAAAGGTCAGTAAAAAACACTATTTCATCAGGAGTCTTTGCATAAAACACAAGCTCAATCATGTAAGGTAACAACATTTAAGCTGAACTCATACTAGACACTGAAGGAAAAATCAGATTTGCAAACAAAACCTAAAAGTTTCAAAAAAAAAAAAACACATATCAACTAAAAGGTTTTTTTGTATTAAAATTATCTTCCATTAAATCAGAATCTTGACTAGATCACTACTATATGGTCCTGTATCAGATAGAATGGAGTACATAACAATGATTATCTTCAAGAAAAATATAAGCATTTTTACAACGTAAAAAGGGAAAATTTCTACTACATAGTTTTCTACAAATGATCTCAAGAATTCAAAAAATTCAAAGGCAGCCACATTATTAACTAGCCTAATTTTAATTAGTTCACATAGTAACTGAAAGAGATGGTCTTAAAAAGGTAAAATCAGAAGAGTAGCACCAAACTGTGGTACTGCTATTTTAAGCAGTAATTGTTCAACAAATATTTAAATCCTCAATTACTTTCAGTACAGGGAATACCCAACTCTAGTAACATGTTCTAAGAATAAAATCAGTAAGTATATTTTATTGCACTGCAATTCCACCTATATCCAAAACTGACATACACAATACAAGAGGCAATAAAATGAATTTACTATGACCATGAAATATTTTTTTTTTACTATTTAGAATGTGTTTCCTATAAAGACCTTCATTACCACACTGCCTAAATTTTATTTATTTACAAATACAATATTTAATACAGGAAAAAATCCTTCATTTACATTTTTAAACCACATTTTAGTGATAGCTCAAATATTTTTAGTCCTAACGACAACAACAACCTTATGAAAATAGTTCTCAGAATCTTACAACTTAAATCTAGAAACAACCTAACTGAACAAATTCAATCCTTTTTGTACATCAGGGAACTGAAGTCCAAAAAGATAAAAGTGATTTCCCCTAAGTTCCCTAAGTATCCTTTTTTCTTGCTTCATGTTTTCTTTGCATGAAAACACCCTCTTCTACTAACCCAAATATCTGCTAAGTAAAATTTTCTATTCTTTTCAATCTATTTCAAATACTAATCCTTCAAAAACATTTTTGATGTTTCATTTGATCACCATCTCTTTCTCTCAATAGTAAAAATTCTGTAATTCCTATATAGTGCTTTTGATACCCTTCCTGCCTTATATTCTGCTACTAAATGTTCATTAGTCTGTAGTCAGGGTCTGACTTTTACTTTTTTTGTATACTAGAGTATATAAAACAATTCTCATTGAATAGTGTAGTGACCACCAGGAGTTAGAAGACCTTCTCAGAGTCCACAAAGTCAAACATTTTCATAACTAATACAAAGACACCATTTTGCCATTTTCATAGTGTTAATATTTGCACTGAAGATACATAATACATAAGCCCTCGTGTAAAACTGCTGGCAGCCCAGCACAAATCAAAACCAAACCGGCAGCACCCAACTACTAGTGGTAATTGTATTGTTAACAATGGATATTTGCAGCAAAAAATAAAAATGCCAACTCACTCAAGAATGCCCTTGATGAAGCTAAGAATTATTAATTTTATTAAATCACATTCATTGAGTAAACTTTGTGATATTCTGCATAGTGAAATGGGCAGCACACATTACTGCATGCTAAAGTAGAATAGTTCGGGCCCTCCCTGGTGGCGTAACCAATTAAAGCACAGCACTATGAGGCTATCCACAGCCCTGCAGCACAAGTTCGATCCCTGGACAGGGGATGACCCATATGCAGTGGCAGACCTCTCCTGACCCACCTACTCTGTGTAATTCACCCACAGCAGTATAACTCAGTGCAACTGCCTATTCTGCTCCCCACTGTTTCTAGTTAATCCTCTCAACCCCCACCCCACACACCTCTGGCCTGCACTTCAGTTCTTGTATGCATAAATAAATTTTTAAAAAACGGTAGCATAGCTCATTTGTGAACTCAATTTAGTCATATTTTTACAAGAAATACTTTTTTCACTAGAAAGAAAAGACTGACATTAAAGGACTATGGGGTTTCAGACATGGCATACATTTTCTTGAAAAATGCACAAAGTGAATTATCACTTCAAGGAAAACAAGTGACAGTATTTGCTGTCAATGACAAAATTCAGGCATTAAAGAAAATTTTAGCCAATTTTATAAAATGTGTATCTACAACTTGAGCTAAGCTTCCCAATTTTTAAAAGCTTCTCTGATAAAACTGGTAAGGATATTAGTGACTATGGATTCTTCATATCATATAATAAACCCTATATTTGGAAAACCTGAATAACAGTAAACTAATATTTTAAAAATGTCTGATATTATATGGTAAGAAAAAAAGACATTTCAAGTATAAGACATAATCAATAGATTTCAAGACATACAGAAAGCTTATCAATATACAAAAATATTAATGATGTTTTATTATACAAAGACTTTAACACAACTTAAAAATTAAAATTCAATTATTTGGGCCTCCTTGGTGGCCTGGGGCTAAGTGTCTCAGTGCTTCTGCCACAACAACCCAAGTTTGATACCTGGCTAGGGAATTAATCCACATGGTGCAACAGACCTCTCCTGTCTAGCCCACTGCTCCCTTCAGCAGTGTATTTCAGTAGATCTGCCTATTTTGCTCCCCACTCTGTCTCTGATGAATCTTCTCACCTCCTGCCACCCCTATGCAAAAATAAATAAAATCTTTAAAGAATAATCTTAGAGTTAAGTTCAGATAGGTACACAGAGCACAAATTTTTTATACTCTTATTTCTGCTAGTTTTTATTTTTGAGTTGGCAGAAGCTGCTTTTGGACACTAAGTCATTATGGTGTTTTTTTGGTTTTCTTTTTTTTTTATCCTATGTTTTTATTTCACTATCGAGTCATAAATTGCCAATATTTACTAAACACTCACTCACCTTGCACCAACTTCCTGGGGAGTACACAAAAAACAAAATTTTTATATAGTATTTTTATATAGTAATGACTTTGATTTATTGTTCCTAGCTCTGTAACTATGCAGTTAGTTAAAAATAAAAAAGAAAACTGTATATAGTCAGTGTGATTACAAGGAGATAGATTTTATAAGAGACTATGTAATAGTTCATATAGACTACTTCTATATAAACAATATTCTTCGAGGTTTGAAATGAATTTAAAATTCAATTAAAAAACTATAAAAACAATGTTATGTTTTTATTGCTAATATTAAATAATGTGATTCACTCAAATGCAAAACCAAGTACTTTTAATTAAATCTAGTCTGTGGCTTTGTCACTTTAACATATAAATGATATGCTAAATAAATGTTAAAAACTCACCTGCATTTAAATCACAACAATGATATGTGAAATCATATGAAAAATACAACTGAGTTAAGATAAAAATAACTATGATACGTGACACTAAGTCTTGTATAGAACCACTTTTCTCTACCCCTTTGAATGGCGCCACTAACATCTCTCACCTGGATTACTCTAGCAGCCTATGAGCTGGTATTCCTGCTTCCACTTTTGCTCCCTTTCTGTTTATTATAAAGAAAATAGTTAAAATATAGCTAATAAAACATAAGCTAAGTCACCCTATTCCAGTGCCTCCTAGAGGCATTGTTTAATCCATTTCCTCCCCAAGGACATTTGGCACTGTCTGAAAACATTTTTGATTGTCACAACTAAATGGTAGAACTACTGGTATACAGTATGTTAAGGCCAAGATACTGCTAAACAGTCTACAATACACAAGAAAGTCCCTCACAAAAAGAATTACCTGGTCTACAATGTCAACTAATACCAAAGCTGAGAAACCCTGCCCTTAATGACTCACCCTCCCACCCCATCACCTTTCTCCCCCCACACCCCTCACTTCTCATATTTATTCTTCAGCAATAGAAACCATTCAGAGATCACCTGCTGGAAACCTAACCTACCAGAACTGGCCTTCTGCTTGTCCTCCCCTCCCCCTGGATGACATCCATTCAGTGCTGAAAATCACATATCCCACACTCCTATCCTTTCCTGCAAGGCCTGCCAGCCTGCATATCTACCTCAGTAATCTGCCCTTCTGCTTCAGGGATCTCCCTCCACCTTCATGGCAGTTAATAAAATCAACCCCACACCTGGTTAATCATATTTGAGGGCCTCCCTGGTGGTGCAAGGGGTTAAGATGCAGTACTATGAAGCAATCCACAGCCACTGCAGCATGAGTTCCATCATCTCTAACCAGAGAGGTGACTCCCATGGCACAGCAGACCTGTCATGTCTCACCACTCCTTCCCCCCTTAGCAGTGTTTTTCGGTCAATCTGCCTGTACTGCTCTCTCACTATGTCTCTGGTGAATACATTCAACCCCCCGCATTTTTGACCTGTATCCCAGTTCTTGTATAATCCCAGTTACTGTATAAATGAGTAAATCTTTAAAAAGAAATATTTGACGTTCTTAGGCTTCGGAATGGGTCACTTGTGTCTCCATATCACCTTTACATCTTTATGACCTGTTCTCTATCCTACCTCCCTCTTAACCTGAGAAACATTACCTTATTTATTAGAGTCCACTCATTTTTATAAGTATTTTGCTTTGTTAAATGGTATTTATTGGAGTTCACTCTTTTTTATAAGTACTTGGCTTTGGTAAATGGTGTGTTATGTAAATATACAATGTTTGTCATTCTGTTTCGCTTTACTAGATAATTCCACTGAACTTCCATTTTGCCATAAATATCAACATTTATTTATTTTGAAAGTTGATGGTTCCAAATTCTTTGGATAATGCCCCTGAATAGGATTGCTGGGTCATAAGGTATTTCTGTTTTTTAGTTTAAGTCCAGATAATTTTTCCAAAATTGCTGCCCCAGTTTACATTCCCATCAACTGTATAAAAGAATTTCTCTTTCTCTGCATCCTCTCCAGCATTTGTTAGGAGTCTTTGGAACTGCATCTCCCTTATTAAAAAAATGAACATTTTTCTATGTTGGCCTTCTGGAGTGTATATTTAGATTTGCTGCCATTTATTAATCGGGCTACTTTTTATTATTAAACTGTTTCTTATATATCTTGGATATTAAAACATTCACAACCCCTTGTCAATTGTGTAATATTTAAATATCTCCACTCAATGGGATGTCTTTTTGATGTACTTATATTTTCTTTTGCTACATAAAAGGTTTTAAATTTAACGTAATTTCAATTATATTTTTGCTTTCGAAATTTAGCAAATTTAGAATTTGCTTTTCAATTATATTCTTGACATAGAATTCAAATACCAAAAAAACACCTCTATGATCACATGAAACATATCAATGTTTTATCTATTTATAGTCTTTAATCAAGTGTGAAGTTATTTTTGTGCGTGGAGTTAAGAGAATGATCCAATTTCATTCTTTTACATGTAGTTGTGCAGGTTTCCCACCACTTCTTTAAGTTAAAGATACTCTTCTCCATTCCAAGGTCATGGCTCCTTTATCATGAATTAAGTATTGTCATATACGTGCATTTATTGCTAGGCTTTCAATTCTGTTCCACCAAAGTTATATATCTATTTTTATGCCAATACCATATTAATATAATTACTGCTGATTTAAAGTATAAAGTCAGGTAACATGAGACTCCCCTTTCCCTCCTTTTTCCTTAGTATTGCTTTTGATATTCAAGACCTTCTATGGTTACATATAAATACCTATGTTTTCTGTTCAATTTATTTAAAGAATATTGCTGGTATTTTGGTGAGCAGTGTTATACATCACTTTTGGTAAAATACTCATTTTGATTATAGTGACTGTCCCCATCCATGAACATAGACTATACCTTTCTATATTCTTATGCCATGGTCAAAATCCTCCAGTAATATCTGCTTTCACCATATAGTCCTTTAACTCCTTGATTAATCCCTAACATTAAATCCTTTACAAAGGGATTATGAGTAAAATGATTTTTCTCTTCTCATTAACTATATATAAAAACACAACAGGTCACCTCTTAACTTTATCACTGAGCACTGCCCCTGGTTTACTCTATTCCAGCTAAGTCCCTTGTTATTCCAAGATAACAAAACACCCTATTTTGCACCTGCTAGTCCTTCTAACTGGAATCTCTTCCTTGTACCTGCACTGTCACTCCTCTTTAATTGTTTCAGGTCTTCACTTTCTATCGCTTCTTAGATATAAACAAATCACCTCTGATATTCAATATTCTTCTGGCTATACCTCACTACAATAACCTCACTTAAGACTGTTTAGCACAAATCACCAACTATTTAAAACAGTCTTAAATCTCACTGAAGCACAACAGTTATCACTGTACCTGCTTTCCCTCTTCTGGAATGATCTCCGTCTTTTTAGACTGCTATTTATATAAAATAAAGCATCATGAAAAAAAGAGGAAACATGGGGACACTGAAAATACAACTTCCTTCCAAGAAACAATGTGGAGGAAATCAGTATCTTGCCATGCTCCTCCTACTTCACTTCAATTGCTGGAAAATACAATGCTAACAATGACTTGTATGTTTGGCTTCATCTGGTTAGGGTACATCTTTTATTTCCTTAAGCCTAAAGTATTCTTCCTCTGGACAGCCTCATCTGTCTCATCTTCCTTACACATCCATATTCAAACTGTCACCTTCTTTCTTAGTAAGTTCTTCCAAAGCTATTCCCTCAAAAATTGTAACACACACACACACAGGTCACCTTCCCTGTGATGTATTTCTCCCTCACAATTACCATCTAATATAAACATATGCTACTTCTTTGTTTTGTGTATGGTCGATTTCATCCCACTATACTAAAAATATGTGAGGGCCGGCATACTGATCCATTTTGTTCACTGCTGTATATCAGCTTCTAGAACAATAGCTGATATTCAGCAAGCATACAATAAGTATCTGTTGACTGAATAAAGTCAAATGATAACCCTGAAATTAAGTCCTTTATTTAGAAAATGCAGATAACACAGGCCTCAAGTGTTGTTAAGCAGTGGTCTTTACCTAAAAGAGCAATTCAAAATCATTCTGAAAACTTTCTCACAACATAGAATCAGGAACACTTGTCCTAAAATTTAAATCCAGTGACACTACAATATAACCTGAGCAAATATACTTTGATAAAGCTCCTCAGGAATCTAACAATCACTCTTAGGTGAGAACAGCTGAAACAAAAATCAAGAGAAAAAAATAAGTCATATTATTAGTGATAGAAATTTCTAAAGATCTTTTTATAGCACTGTATAAAAATTTTAAAAAAGAAACTTTTGCCTTCTTTGATTCTGCCTTTTCAGATCCTGTATTTACGCATGAAATCCAGCTCAAACAGTACAACCTACTAGAGGCCACGCCATCCCAAATATCTTAGTAAAAGTATTAGCCCTATTCACTCTAGATTTAAATCTTCGATTAACTTTCATTTATCACTCTCAATTTTCTACCCTCGTCAATCTGCCAAGTCTTAATAATTTTCTGGAAGCATCTTAATATTTTTAGATTACTACTGTTGTCTACTGAATTCAGTATCTTAAAACACTTTCACTTATGTTTATATACTGCATTTATAGCTATTTTCAGTCTAACCTACATGTTGATATAAACAATGTTATGTTGTTCTGACTACTTTCTATGTACTGAGTCATTTCTGATCACATCAAAAACTAAGTTCTCAATATTTTTGGAGATGATGATAAATAGAAATTAACTGGATGGCAATCACTCATAAAATGGCATAGTCTTCTTTATTTAGTAGTACATTATTTTAAGAACATACTACATTGTATACAATAACTGAATTTCGCATTTCTGTGGCAATCAGGATATTTAGTTCTACTCCCTGGGGTCCTTCATGTTTTAACCTCTTTGAATTATACCAAGTTCTTTTTTGTGTTACCATCCTCTTTGGCTATCAAATGACATCCAATTGTATTGTGAATATCTCTCATAACCTTACAGATGTCAGTAATATTCTCTCATAACCTTACAGATGTCAGTAATATTCTCTCATAACCTTACAGATGTCAGTAATATTCAGGCTTCCCCACGCTCTTCTGAACAGTTCTTCATGTGTAAACACATTTGGGCACACTCAAGCAAATGACCTCAAAAACAATGTCAAAATTTATTACAATAAGAGCAAAACAGAAGCCAGCCAATAAAACATTTAATCTGTTGGGCCCTTCATGGTGGTGCAGCACTATGAAGCTGTCACAGCCACTGCAGCAAGAGTTTGATCCCGGGTCTGGGGGTAACCCACATGGCATGGCAGACTTCTCCTGTCCCACCCACTGCTCCCCTCAGCAGTGTATTTCAGTCAATCTACCTGTTCTGTTCTCCATTCTGTTTCTGGTGAATCCTCTCATCCCCCGAAACTCTGGCCTGTACCCCAATTCTGTATGCATAAATAAAATAAATCTTTTAAAAAAATTTAATCTGTTTTACAAAGCCTCTAATTCAAAAACTATAACACAGCTAGTTTCCTGTAACTCATCACTGAATTTAATTCAAGATCTTTTGGGGTAAATTAAAAAATCATATTTCAAATGATCAGACAAAACTTAAAAAGGCCTTAACTTTTTTCCTAATTCAAATACCTCATATGACAACATTAACACTAAGAAGTAGTACAAGGGACAAAAAATAATTGAAACAAAGTGGAACTTTTTACATAGGTACTTTATATATATTTATATGAAGAGAAAAAAACACATTCCTTTAACAAGAAAATGAAAGAGGATACTCACCATTAAATCCCTGATAAGTATTCCTGCAAGCAGAGTGTGTGTAATCTATGGAAACACATTTAACAGAAAGGATTAGTACAACATTCATAAAAATCTACAATTAATATATCTACTCAAAATAAACACAACTACTTTAATGCTATTAATTAAAGTGGGTATACATAATTACCAATATTTGCAAAATGGGTATACATAATTACCAATGTTTCACATAGGGAAAAATATACCACTTTCTTCTCACTATCGCTCCAAAATGGAAAGTCTGCCATCCAAATTATGGCAATGTAAAAATTAGTTTATAATGTCTGATATACAATAACAGCTCAAAGAGAGGATCCAGTACTGATTTATATGGATGGCAGGGATTAAACTAGATATCAAAAAATGCAAATAGCAAAGAGATCTGAGAACTTAATTTTTTACAATAAATATTTTCTTTTATCGCCTAGTTTCTCTCTAAAGATCACAAGATCTTATTTGAGAAATGTATATGCATTTGCATGTGTTGGAAATAACCATCCAGGATGTGACATCACCAAAACTACACTGCCAATTTCCTAATAAAACTAATTTAGCAGCCGGTAATTTTACAGATAAATCTTGAAAGAAAGGAATTTAATACTGTGATCATTTGGACACAGCAGAACCCAGCTACACAAAACAGGATTTGATTCAGATAATACTGTTAGTCAAATTTCATTTCTTAAAATGACAGTAAAGGTGAAGACACGGCATGAGAGAGGGATTTTTTTACCCCTGGCATTTTCAGAATTTTATCACTGACACAGCTGTTAATAGTAAAATACCAATTTTATTTTTTAATTTTCTACAGAAAATTAATTCCCCATGGGGTTTGGGCCATTCCCATTGTTTTTCCCACCACGTTTGGTAGCATCTTCTGTACCTTGGCTGCTGGTACTGTCACCCAACACTGCATGAAAACCCAGTAATGTATTTTAAAATTTCACTCCTACTTCAAATATTCATAGTTTAAAGAATGAGTCAAATTCACCATAATTGCTATTGTTAATACTGAATGTCCTCTTTCAAAGTAACTTAAAAGTATCCACAAAGGATTATTCTAATCCCTGTTCAAATACTCCGATATGGCAGTTTTAACTCTTTGTTGCATGAAGTCAAACCAAAGCTCCAAACATCATTCAGTATGACTCACAGGCTGAGATCAACCACATTCAATGTTAAAGAAAATGCCTCGGTTAGATGAGAGGCTTCCGAGTAACTAGTGAACTGGTTTATTTAGAAATGCCTGGCTGGCTACTCTGGATTAAATCCAATTTAAATACACTTGTGATTAAAACCACTCAAGTGCTTTCTCGCATTTTCCCAAATTCTATCACTACCTCATTTTATCTTGACACAATTCCTATAAAAGTTGGCCAAGATCTGAAGACAAAGTGAAAACCAAATTAATTTTACTGCTACATGGCTTACCGAACTGGCGAGAAAGACGACTCAAAGGTATTACTAAAACGCAGTTTCACCAGTAAATCCAATTCTGGCGGCTGTACACACGTCTGAATTTGAAGGGCATGTGATGCTGTGCCAGAATTCTAACTAAAGTCCCGTCCACACAAAAATCCCCAAAAAAATGCTTTGGTTCACAGAAATGTTTCAAATTGGGCACTAACGACCGGGATATTTTGCTGGGTAAGCATTCCAGGTGGCTAACCAGAAATAGCTTCTTTTCCATTCCGCAGCGATCTCTACCCACACTCATCACTTACGGATGTCCTTTAAACTCATCTTAAACGAACACACCCAGAAACATCACTTTAAACAAGCCTCTGAAAATAGTACCTGGCGAGAAGTAACCTGAGATTGAGGGTTTGCTAAATGGACGATCTGGGTCGCCGCCCTGTAGGGCGAAGCGCGACGAGGCGGGGCAGGCCCCGCTCGCCCCTTTGCCCGAGACCGGGAAGTTGGAGGCGTCGGGGCAATTTCCATGTACGGGAGCCAGGGCGAGTCCCGGGCCCGCGACCGGAGGCCATGGCGCTCGGGAAGCCGCCTTCCCCGCCTCGAGGCCGGCACCGAGCTCCCAGGTCCCCCGCGGCGGCAGACGCCGCACGGAAGGGCGAGGGGCGCGCGAGTCCCCACGGAGGCCGACTTCGGGCACTGGGCCCGAGGAGGGCGGGCGGGCGGCCTCGGGCCCACAGAACAAAGCCTACACGGCCATCTTGAGACGGTAAACAGACCCCCGGCGCAGGCCACCCCGCCTCCCACCCGCCGCAGCGACCAGCCAGCCTTGGTGCTTACCGTCGTCGAAATCCATGGCGGAGGCTCGGGACCGACGGTCTTGGCGGCGCTGGGCTGAGCAGTGGCAGACGGAGCGCGCCCGAGACCAGCGGTTCCACAAGACCAGTCGCGCGACGGAAAGCGGCGCTACCGGCCCGGGAGCCGCAGGCCACAGAGAGGCTGGGGGTGGGGCCGACCGGCGCTGCCAGCCGACGCAACGCGGTCTGCGATTGGCCAGCACTAGCTGGTGGGCGGGCTCTCGAATGGGGGCGGGAAGCAGGTCCGCTGTCACGCTCCGGAGTGCTGACCCTCTTAGAGCCGCCGAAGGGGAAGGAAGGTAAAAAGAGGAGGGCCAAAGTCGACTGGGGTTGTGGGAGAGAGAGTTGGGGTGTGCTGGAAGGTCGGCCTGCGGCCCGCCATGTTTGATCCTGGCAAGAGCGTAAGAATCTGGTTGGAATAGCTTCCTCTTGCCCAAACTCCACGTGCCGACCTTTGCTTTCATAGGCTGGTGGTGACCTGCTCAGAGAATGTTAAGCTACTGAATGGAGTTTCCGCCGTGGAGACGCGGAAGAACGGTCGTTTTGGTTTTTTTTTGTTTTTTTTTTTAGAACGCTCTGAGCAAGAGACAGATTGCTGAATAGGAAAAAATTATGGGAACTATCCAAGACAAGCTATTATCAAGTTCTGAATTTTGAGGTATAAGTAAAAGTGTGGTGAAAGTTCTCGTACAGGAACTGTAACAGGAGCCGTCCAGAATTTGCAGTAAATCCCCTCCCCCAACCCCCACCCCCACCCCCACCCCCACACACGCACATAATGGCGTCGTAGTATTGCCACTTTGGAAATGGTGTGTTGGGAGTGGTGGATAGAGTTACTCATCTACAAGGCAATATGGAAAATGACAAATATTTGGTCACTTGACTCTGGAACAGTTTGAACTCCAAGTTTTTTTTAAAAAATCCTTTTTCATAGAGGAAATAGTTTCGACAATGAATTGATCACAGTCAAGCCTTCTTTGCTCTTCTTTAAGGTCCAACCAATATCTGGGTCCCAGTTCCAAGGAGTCTGCCTCTGCAAATAGACTGGTGGAAAAACTGAGCCGTATATTAAATGCTACAGTGGTTCCAAATCCGGTTGGCTATTGTTTCTTCCTCATCGCTTTCTCCTTCTCCACCTTTGCTGATTTGCCAAGTTCCCCACCCCTTTCTTGTTTTCTTTTCTATTCTTTTTTCTCCTATACATGTTTCCTATTCACCTGAACTGAACATGTTGAAAACTGAACTCATAATTTCCCTCCTCAAACCTGTTCATCCTCCTTTGTTCTTTCATCTCTGTCACTGGCATCATGAGCAACCACCCACTAATCCCAGCCAGCAGCAGCCTACAACTTATCCAGTCAAGTCCCAGCCCTCCCTCACCCTCTCATCTCAATCCATACAGAAGTATTTCATCCGCCTATTACCACCAAAAATGTCTGAAACTCCCTACCGCCTCGCCTCCATTCTCACCACCACTACCTTAGTTAGACTCTCATTATCTTTCTCGCAAATTGTTGCTATACCTTCCTAATTAATCTCAGGCTCCCTGGGACTGCTTGATCTAAAGGAAAATATGAACATGGCTTCGTGTGCCTCTGTTACAGAATAGGACAGAGCAAATCTCCTTAACCTGGAGCACAGCCAGCAGGATCTGGCCACTGCCTGACCTGCCAACTTCCTCAATTTCTGCCTCCTTCTCTTTCCCAGTCTCACCCATTTAATCAGCAGTTTTAAGCTGCTTACATACCCCTAAACACCCGCAGTCTTTTTCACACAACTGAACTTTTGTTTAGATTCTTCCTTCTTCCGGTAACACCACCCAGTTAACTATACTCACCCTCAAAACTCAGCTCAGGACTTACTTCCTCTATGAAACACTCCCAACTGCCCCCTCTGCCAGTACTTCTCAGATATTAACATGCACATGATTCATCTACGGATCTAGTTAAACTTTGGATTCACATTCAGTCAGCCTGGGTTGGAGTCTGCATTTCTCATAAGTTTCCAGGAAGTGCTGCTACTGGCAGTTGAAATTTAAGTTGGAAGAGCAAGGCTGTGGATCCTATTAAGCTGTGTTCCTTGAGCTAACATTTGCTACAGCATTGTCTCCCTTGCACTGAGTATTGTATTTAGCTCTATGACTTTCCACATTAAAAGTTCTTTAAGTTATACGAATTCAGATCTATATCTCAATGCCATATATCGGCTGTACATTAATAATCAACCACGTATAAGAGACATTTAAAATTAAAATGATTCAAAAACAGATGAAAGCAAAAGGACAAATACTAATCATACAAGAAAGGGTGAGAGTTTTAATTCTAGTATTAAACAAATCAAAGCAAAAACTAGAAAAAATGGATATTTTAAAATAAGAATCTATATGCACCAAGTAACAACTTCAAAATTCAAAAACATGGCTGTAGGAAATACAGGCAGACATAGAAAAACAATACAAATACTGAGCTGAGCATGAAATAGATTGAGCAGATAAAAAAGTAAGCCCCTGAAATAAGGCAGTAGAACTTGTAAATATTTAATTCAATATCCTTAAAAACAATTTTCCAAAATGTCCTTTAAACATTTGCAAAAATTTGCTATGTTAAGCCACCAAATTTTAATAAATTCTAAAAATTAGAAACAACACAAAACACAATATCTAATACCAAAGAAATAAAATTAGAAGTCAACAAAAATCAGGAAACAAAATAGCAAAACGTTCTCACACTCATCCTTAACTGGGAAATAGTTTAAATAATTTTGAAAGACTATCAAACTCAAAATTTTAGAATATTTGCAATGTTTAATAAGACAAAGAAAAAGCCATACTCGAACAAAGGAACGTTGGCCTTAATTACATACATTTCTACACAGTAAAAAAAAATTAAGATTAGAACCAAGTCTTTCCTGCCTCCTCAGTGTCGAGCACATAGGTTTACTTTATAAAATTAAGTTTTCTTTAACATGGTTAAACTTCTTTTTTGAAAAGCATGACATAATCTGTAATTATTTTATTGAAATTATTTCTTTGTTTTAGTCTTTTTATTTTCTATTTAATATATTTTACATCACTGTTCATTTTAAAACAGTGTTTACTTCCTCCCCCCTCAGGCCCATAGAATTTCCTCCTCCAATTCACCCCATGTACTGTCACCACAGTCCCCCAGCTCCTCCTCCCCTCCTCCCCTTCCCCTCCTTCAGGCCCTCCTCCTCCTCTCCCCTGCAGGAAGGCTGGTTTATAATAGTATGTTTGTTTTTGTTGTGTTTTCTGTTATATCTTTTCCCCTATGTCTTATTTGGCTCCCTGTATTCCTTCTAGAAGTGAAGTCATCTGGCATTTTTCTTTTTCATTCTGACTTATTTCACTGAGCCATCCATATTGCTGTGAATAGCATTACTTTACCTTTTTTGAATGCTGAATAGTATTCTGTTGTGTATATATACCACTTCTTAATCCAGTCATCTATTTAGGGGCATTTGGGTTGTCAGGTTTTACCTACTGTAAATAGTGCTGCAATAAACATAGGGGTACAGGTACCCTTTTCAATTAATGTTTTTGTGTGCTTTGGGTAGATCCCTCGGAGTGGGATTTGTGTACTGGGTCATATGGTAGCTCCATTTTTAGTATAGTCTGAGGAACCTCCATACTGCTTTCCATAGTGGTTTGTACTAGTTTGCACTCCCACCAGCAATGTAGGAGACTTCCTTTTTCATCACACCCTCCACAACATTTGTTGTTGCTAGTTTTTTTGATATGTGCCATTCTCACCTGTGTAAGATGGTATCTCGTTGTGGGTTTGATTTTCATTTCCCTGATTATAAGGGACGTTGAATATTTTTGCATATGCCTAATTTGTATTTCCTCTTTGGAGAAGTGTCTTGTAAGTTCTCCTGCCCATTTCTTTGGTTAACTTTTTTTTCTTGTTATTATACCACCACCCACTTTATCTCTGGCAAAGTATGATCTTACAACTTAATGTTTCAGATATTAGCATGACTGGCAGGATATGCAAATTGTATACACACATAACTTCTTTTTCCTCTGAAAAAGAAAACTGGTGTGGGGCCCTCCCTGGTGGCGCAGCACTAAGAAGCTAAAGCCCGTTCAGCATGAGTTTGACCCCCGCCCCAGAGGTGACCCACATGGCGCAGCAGATCTTTCCTGACCCTCTGCTCCCCTCAGCAGTGTACTTCGTCGATCTGCAAGTTCTGCTCCCCACTCTGTCTCTGGTGAGTTCTCTCACTGCCCCTGCACCTCTGGCCTGTACCCCAATTCTGTATGCATAAATAAATAAATCTTTTTAAAAAAGAAAACTGGCGTGCAGAATTTCCTAACTCCTTACAGTGTGGTAAGCCATGTTATTTCAATAAAAGTACCATAGAAATAAAAAATATATTAACTCAAATGCACAGAAGTCAGAATAGGGCCCTCAGCAGGTTAAAGCAAACATTAAGAAGCTATTACAGCCACTACAGCATGAGTTTGATCCCTGCCCAGGGAGGTGACCCACATGGCTTGGCAGACCTCTCCTGACCTGCGCACTACTCCCCTGAGCAATGTATTTCAGTTATTCCTCCTGTTCTGTTCCCTACTCTCTGTCTCCTCTCACAACCTCCCACCTTTGGCCTGTACCCCAGCTCTGTATGCAGAAATAAATAAATCTTAAAGAAAAAAGAGAGGGCGCAACAGGCTAGGGTGCAGCATTACAAGCTAGCCGCAGCCACTTCAGTGAGAGTTCCATCCCTGGCCTCGGAGGTGATCCACATGGTGCAGCAAACCTCTCCTGTCTCACCGGCTGCTCCCCTCAGCAGTGTATTTCTGCTCCCCACACTGTCTCTAGTGAATCTTCTCACCACCTCTGGTCTGCACCCCAGTTCTGTTTGCATAAATAAATAAACCTTTAAAAAAAAAAGTCAGAATAAACAGTTCTTTTTCTCCTTTCCCTTCCTATTTTCCAAACTGGAAGTCTTATAAAGGCAGGTGGTCATACCCCAGACACCCAGCAATACTTAAGAAATTGGCATGGTGTCCCCTAATTCATTTTTTGGGAAAACACTAATTGAGCACCAACTGTGGGTCAACATCATTTTCTTACCTTGAGTCTAGGAATGTCCCTGGCCTGTACC